CATGTATAAACAATCGAGGAACATATTGCGTTACATAGATACAGTAAAAACTTACAGTCGAATTGTTAAATCCTTTTATAAAGTCGGCTAACTCTAGGGTACAATTTTCTTCTTTTAAATGTAAAAAATTATAAAAAATCCGTTGAAAAAATAATTCTAACGTTTATGTGGGAAACAAGTCAGGAGATAGGCAGCAGTGTCCTTCTAATAACGACGAAAAATAAAAAAAAACTGCGGTTGCCATCTCGCTTGCCAAGCGTGGCATCTATGGCAAATATCCCCCCTGTGTTCAGCAATGGATTTTAATAGGTTGTAACAGTAACGGTAACGGTTCATGTGTTAAAATGAAAAAGTCACAGGAAAGGTTTTAAAAAAATCGGTGAAGTGCGAGCTACACTTTCAAAATTAATGTTCAGTACAATCATTTATTTATTCATCATCACAGCCTATCACGAAGCCGTAGGTCCTAAGCCTGTCACCCGCGATGAGTAAAAAGGAACCCACTTGGCTGGCCCGAGGTGGCCACTCCGAGCGATTATCAGTGGTGGATCGTGGTTGGAATGATGAAGTGTAGACCTTAGCTAGTCTCCCCTCCTTGTACCGCCGCAGGAACCCACATGGCTGGACCGAGGTGTATAGCCGGCCCGAGCTCGCTACTCCGAGTGGGTTTGGTGAGCTTATTTCGGATTTAACAGTGGTAGAGCTAAGCGGTAGCTTTTGCTGTCGCACGGATGGGCCAGCTCGAACGGGGGTGGTACCACGACCTCACAGAATACCAGCGTGAAGTAGAGGTTTACCTCTGCGTTGCGCTTGGTGAGTGCAAGTGGCCGGAGGCCCAATTCCCCCCCCCCCCCCCCCCCCCATCAACATGGTAATGGAATTAAATAAAAGACTACCCCAGGAGGGTACCAGCACCCCTGGAGAATCCCTCGCTGAGCATCCACAACCAAACTACTTCACTCCTGAGCGTGGGTGCTAAGGCTGCTCCGCGTATTCTGGGGAGGGGGGGGGGGGGCAAAATTCCGCTCGCGACTAATGCTGCTCGGGGCAAGCGGAGCAATACAACCAAGGCGACCCCTGTCACGCTATCCGTGAATTTTTGCAACATCAGGGGACTTCATTCCAACCTTAACGCTGTCCATTACCATCTAGAGACGGCGAAGCCGGCCTTGCTCTTTTTAACCGAGACTCAGGTGTCCTCTCCGGCTGATAATTCATATCTCTCCTACCCGGGGTACAAATTGGAACACTCCTTTGTGCCCCGGGCTGGAGTTTGCGTATACGTCAGAGAGGACATCTGTTTTCGACGCCTCGGCAGTCTTGAAGGTACGGACCTGTCCATCCTATGGCTGCGCGTAGACAGCGACGACCATCCCCGCGTCAACGGGTGCCTCTATAGGTCACTGAGCACATCGGCAGAATTGGCGAGAAGCTAGTTCGCCTTCCTTCGGGAACCCGTGCATTCTGGTCTCTCGCCAAGGCTATCCAAGGGAACTTCTGTCAGCCATCTCTTCCACCTCTGCACAGAGAGGACGACTCACTGGCCCATGCCGCAAAGGAGAAAGCCGATCTGTTGAGCTCTCTTTTTGCGTCCAACTCGACTCTAGATGACGGGGGGAACACACCGCCGACCATCCCCCGATGTGAGTGCTCCATGCCGGATGTTCGGTTTACACAGAGCTCGGTTCGCAAAGCACTCTTCTCCCTGGACGTCAGCAAGTCGAGTGGGCTCGATGGAGTCCCTCCCATTGTGCTAAAGACGTGTGCTCCGGAGTTGGCACCGGTTTTAACGCGACTTTTCCGATACTCCTACTCCCAAGGCGTAGTCCCGAATTCATGGAAGACAGCTTTGGTCCACCCGATCCCTAAAAAAGGCGACCGCTCAGACCGCTCAGAACTACAGGCCTATTGCCATCACCTCCTTGTTCTCCAAAATAATGGAATCCATTATAAACTGCCAGCTCATGAGGTACCTTGAGGATCACCAGCTGATTAGTGACCGCCAGTACGGTTTTCGTCGAGGTCGATCAGCTGGTGATCTTTTAGTCTATCTTACTCATAGATGGGCGGAGGCAGTAGAGTCCAAGGGGGAGGCATTGGCCGTTAGTTTGGACATAGCGAAGGCCTTCGATCGGGTCTGGCACAAAGCGCTTCTTTCGAAGCTTCCTTCCTATGGGCTTCCCGAGAAATTGTGCAAATGGATCACCAGTTTCCTTGCTGATCGGAGCATCAAGGTCGTAGTAGACGGTGCATGCTCTGATTTCAAGCCTATCAACGCTGGTGTTCCACAAGGCTGCGTGCTATCACCAACGCTGTTTCTCCTGCATATCAATGATATGTTGCTAACTAGTAGCATTCATTGCTATGCAGACGACAGCACTGGTGCCGTGGCCGTGCCAATATTTCTCGGGAAAACGTCGCTGAGTACCGGGACAAACTTGTGTCTGAAGTCGAGTCTTTGCTTAACAAAGTCTCGGATTGGGGCCGACTAAATCTAGTCCAGTTCAATCCCCAGAAAACACAAGTTTGCGCGTTTACCGCTAAAAAGAACCCCTTTGTCGTATCTCTTCAGTTTCAAGGCTCCCCTTACTACCTCAGCTAGTATCGGAATCCTTGGGGTCGACAAATCGAATAGTGTGCAGTTTCGTGGTCACTTGGAAGGGAAGGCCAAATTGGCCTCTAAAAAGCTTGGCGTGCTCAGCAGAGCGAGACAGTATTTCATGCCGGCACATCGCTTGCAAATTTACAAAGCGCAAGTTCGGCCCCACATGGAATACTGTTCTCATCTCTGGGCCGGGGCACCCCAGTGCCAGCTCCTTCCACTTGACCGCATCCAGCGCAGAGCGGTTCGAATCGTCGACGACCGAGTTCTTTCTGATCGGCTCGATACACTGGCACTGCGTTGTTGTTAAATATTTCACAAAACGTTTTACTTTCTTCTCTTTCAAAAACCATCACTTTCGTCTTACTTGCGTTCATTTTCATACCCCTTTCTTTTAATGACCAGTTCATTAAATTAACCATCATTTGCAACTCGCAGTTGTAAAATACGCAAAGAGATGTTGCATCTCTTTGCGTATTTTATCGCATCTATCACAGGAAGTGCTCTGAGGAATTGTTCGGACTAATTCCAGCCGCTCAATTTCACCATCGCACATCGCGACAAAACTCGCGTTACCATCCATACCATCTGGATGATTGGCGGTCCACCACTGTGCGATTTAGAAGAAGTTTTCTCCCTCGCACAACTTCCTTGTGGAATCGATTACCACCGGTGATTTTTCCGGACCGATACGACTTAGGAATCTTCAAGAAAAGAGCTTACACCTATCTAAAAGGCCGGCAACGCATCTGCAATTCCCCTGGTGTTGCCTTTGTTCATGGGTGGCGGTAGTCACTTACCATCAGGTGAGCCGCATGCTCGTTTGCCCCCTCTTCTATAAAAAAAAATGTGTGTCGATAAGCTGCGGCGAGAGGCGTGTGCTCTCCCCCTACCGTAACCCTTGGACCGTGGAGTCGCGGAGGAAGAGGAGTCTTGGTATGGCGATGCGCTACTCGTCCTAACCTCTGCAACTCTGACCCGGCCACACCGTTGATGTGGTGGTAGTGAGGCTGTGGGGGGAGAGGAGTGTTGGTATTGCGAGGCGTCGCTCTCTCTATCCTCCGTAGCCGAATCTTGGTTGGCCGCGGAGCCATAGACCAGATCCGCCACTGGGGTTGGGAAGCTAGTGCTTCCAAGTGCTCGCTATCCTGGCCCCATGGTCTCTGCGTATCGGACTCAGGGAAGTCCGTTTCGCAGTTGCAGTAAAAGGCCGTGGAGTAAGGTGCGCCTTGTGTTCCTGGTGCACCTTACCTGAGAAGATAGAGGGAGAACAGAAGTCCACCCGAGGAGGGACTTATTTGGGGCGGCTGGCGCTGGTGCCTATAGGCCACTGTTCACTGGGCACCACCTGGTGCCGCTGGGCTGCGGATGTATGCGAAATCGTTCCCGTGGCCCCGCATGCGCGAAAACTGCGCAATATGACACATAAACATATTGTGAAGCAGTGTAATATAAAGGTTTATTATCACTTGATACTGAGCTAATAACTGACTGACATGGCCTAAAAAATAAGCATCCAAGCCAAAAATCTTAATAAAAAAGTTGGTTTTGGCGGGAACATGACCGTGTTGGCAGCGGAATGCTGCTCTAGTTTTATTCTATAAATAATAGTTTGAAGGGATTTAGATACGTAAAAGTAGTGCGATTTTGTGTGTTAAATGTCTGTGCACATAAACTTTTAGTGGGAATGAAGTGATTTTGTGTATTAAATGTTTATGCATGTGAACTAGTAGTGGGAACGATGAAACAAATGCTCCGATAGTGATGTGAACCGCAAGATAATGTGTCGGCTACCTTGAGATATTGTCTTCATCGAATGTCTACTGGCTCAAGATGTCGTCATAAATTTCGCAATGTGGCGCATCAACATTTTATGAAGAAGTTTTTAGACAAAAATGTATAAGAACGAAGATCTCGATTGAAAGAAAGACATGGCTTAAAGGACAAGCATCCAAGCCTAAACTCTGAATAAATAATAAATAAAAATTATAAGTTAATTAGTTTATTATTATTTAACTAAAAATATAATCGTAGGTAGCACTTGTTTTATCATTTCACTTATAGTTCAGATCCTTAGACAGTTGTTACACAAAACTGCATTACTTTTACATATCAAAATCTACTTTAAGCCAAAATATATTTCATTAAGCGATAAACATAGGAGCGGCAATCCACTGACAGTAAATTTTCTGCCAAAAATCTCCCCAAACATGAATTCTACAGACTACTACCGTGGGTATCAACTCTGACTCGGAGCTAACCCACACGCTTGCCTAGCGTGCACAAACTATATAGAAACACCTAGCGTGGAGCGTAAGGGCAAAGCGAGTATTATTTCAAGATTTCCTTATCGCAAAATATCTGTTTTCTATAAAACGAATGCCATAGTTAACGCAATGATCAGTCATTCAAACGTCGCGCAGTTGGTGCGTAAATTATTTCTTGTTTTTAAATTTTACAAATATTGTTTTTAATTTTTTTTATCCGGATGTTGTAAAGCAAAATAGTGACACTTAATTTAACTATTATTTGTTATCTGCGCAATTTTATGACATTACCTGTTGCTAAATAAGTTTATTTTTAATTATTTCTGTTCCTTGTCCTAATCTAAACCTGTGGTTCCGTGTTATCTGTGATCTCCTAGGTCGGACGAAAGGAGTGGGAACATTTTTTTAGAATACAAAAGCACTTGTTTTTAAAACAAAAAAAGTTTAACTGTGTTTCAGTTTATTATCAACACTTTCTAAAAATACAATTTTAAAACTGGTAAGTATTTAATTAATATTTGGAAACACATTTATTATTTAACTATATTTTACGTGGTAAATTAATGCTGCTGTTATATTATGGTTGTGGCACGAATGAATTGGCTCAACCGGGGATGGACCACGCTCTCAAAGAATCCCAATGTAAAATAGCAGCTTAATATTACTGTGTTTCGCATGGTGAATGTATAGAAACGGAGATATTTTTTACTGTAAACGAGACCTTCGATCTTAGTCCTCAGTAGTGACATTGCATCAGCATTTTGATTTGTAATCGAGAGAAGATGTATGTAGATGTCTATGGACCACAGCATCCCCTTACCATCAGGTGGACTGTGTGCTGGTTTGTCACCCTTATTCTATAAAAATATTTTTAGGGCAGCGTGTTCCTATTTTATATTATATTTTTCTTCTTCATCAACGGCCGTTAAATTCTTCTGCTGGTAATGGGCCTTCTCGTTAAGGAAGGACTTGTTTTAATCATCATAACTGGCAGGCGGATTGACGAATGCAGTACCAGATATCTCGCACGTTTGTGCTGCCACACACACACGTACAAGCACACGCACATGCATACGTATAAACACACACACACACACACACATACACACACACACACACACACACACACACACACAAACACACACACACACACACACACACACACACACACACACACACACAAACACACATACCACTTCAACAGGAAAGGGTCATTTCTTACAGTGAATTTTTATAGGTTATTAGACAAGGAGATGCGAATACACGCATCTGCATTCTAATTGGTAATTGAGGATGTCTATGGGCCACAGCAACCACTTATCATCAGGTTGACGGTGTGCTCGTTGGTCTCCCTTGTCTTATAAAAAAACACTAGAAGCTTAAAATTGATATTGACTTATTATTGATAAACGTATTATATTATTGACTAGCTGTTCCCCGCGACCTCGCCCGCGGATTAGGGTTTTATGTTATTGCATAGAACCCTAATTCTTTTTCTAAAATAAAAGTAGCCTAAGTTACTCCTTATGAAATCAGCTATCTACCAGTGAAAGTCCCGTCAAAATCGGTTCAGCCGTTTCGGAGATTAGCCGGAACAAACATACAGACAGACAAAAATTTTAAAAATTGTATTTTAGTTATATGTACCGTATTTACTTTCATATGCATTTAGTAAAAAACTGTAATTTTGACATTACAAACAGACACTTCAATTTTATTTATTTGTATAGATTAACAAATACAAATAAATGAATTACAAGTGTCTATTAAAATTATGCGTCATTTAAAATAAAATAATATTTCTTTCATGACAAGATAATAAAAAGTGCGATTGTTTCGTTTTTTAATGAGTTTGGCAGTTTATTATAGACAGTTATGGACATTTTGTAACGGATTTTTAATAGGCTGATATAAATTGTATATAATACGTGTAGCGTGAGGCAGCGATGTAAGAGAATTCATCACTTTCCTTAACCTTTCTTCCCTGGTAAGCGGAGTGCAGAGCGGCCCCTCACTGGATGGAGTGATGACCTGGTAAGATATGTTTAGGACCGTACTTTGTGGCATTCCTTTGTGACCTATGTACAGCAGTGGAATTGTAAAGGGCTGCAATGATGACGAATGAAGAACGCGTAAGGAACAATGGGAAATAGAACGATCTGTGGTGCACCTGACAATACCGTTCAATTAAAAAACGTAAATTAGTAAAATAACGTAAAATTAGTTTATGAGTATGTATTCGATTGCCCATATTATCGAGTGATATATTCGAGCGTCATTTAAAATAAAATAATATTTCTTTCGTGGCAACATAAGAAAAAGTGCGATAGAGATGGATATTATTACATCTCGCTTCCCTATAGCTGCCAAAACCGCGGCTGTCTACACTACATCAGAAGGGGTCGTGACGGAAAAATCTTACACTTTTTCTCGCTTAGCCCCCATCCGCCAAATTCGTACCGTCCTATAAGGAACTTCGTTCCAAAAACGTAAACCACTCACTAGGAATTTCTCTTGCATCGTAGTAGCATTTTACATATTATGTAGTTCTTTAAAAAACTGAAGAGACACGCGAACTTACATACCGACTGGTTGTTAAGTGGCTATCGCAGTCCATGAACGCCTGCAAAAAACTTCAAATAAAGAAGTATACAGATGTGCTTGTTACCTATGAAGTGTTTTTTTTGCCAAATCAAAGTTGATATACGAAAACACCTTGCAAAAATACCGATTACTCTCAAGCATGTCTTGCAAGGCGATTGAAATCAAAATACATCCTTATTTCAATATATAAAATCCGTAATATATATATATACTAGCTCGCCAGGCAGACGTTGTTCTGCCCTTTCCTTTTTAAAAATCCTTAAATTCGAAATAAAAAGTTTTGAGGGTCGTTATCGGTATAAAAACTATCCTATCTCTCAAGTTGGACCAAAACACACACAGTGTGCAAAATTTCATTGAAATCAATAGTTTAGGAGTCCATCACGGACTAACGTTGTGTATATTGAGCGAGTGTAACAACGAGGAAAATTCAGGTGTTCTTTTTTGCTAGCTACGGTTAAAACAAAAAAAACACATTTCTAAGAATTATCGATGGAAATTCCACAGTTCCAGTAACTTCGTTGACGCGTGTACATTTTATTTTACTTTGCCAAACGTTGTAAATAATTTCGGTCAACAATACGCTATAATTAGAATAAACAAATATTAACAACGGCCACTTCTGTAACAATTTCCTGGTATTATTCGTTTATGTATTGATTTGGTGTACAATAAAGAATTATCTATCTGTCTATCTATGTATATTACTTATAATTTTTATTATCGGTGTCAGAGTCGTATTTAATGATATTATATCTATACAAATAAATAAAATTGAAGTGTCTGTTTGTAATGTCAAAATAACAGCTTTTTTACTAAATGTAAATGAAAGTATACACGATACTTATAACAAAAACAAAAGTTTTAAAAATTTTGTCTGTCTGTCTGTTTGTTCCGGCTAATCTCCGAAATGGCTGTGCCGATTTTGACGGGACTTTCACCGATAGATACCTGATATTATAAGGAGTAACTTAGACTACTTTTATTTTGGAAAAATAATTAGGATTCCGTGCAAAATAATTAAAACCCTAAATTACACGCGGGCGAAGTCGCGGGGAACAGTTAGTTCTAACTAATTACGGTTACCGTTACTGCCTATTAAAGCGGGTTGTCAACCGTAGTTTTTTATTTTTAGTCGTTATTTAGGATGATCTACTACTAATCTACTAATAACGATATGAGGTAGTAGATATTCTTACATCGCCCCATATTTCATATAAAATTCAGTTTATCTCTTTCAATTTGAGTAACTCGAAATTTAATCATTATATCTTTTTTTTCTTTTCTTGCCTTAAAAAACGTTAGCCCCACACTAGGATTGTCTCCTGCATCGTGGAGGCAATCTACAAACATAGATTGCACGAGGACAAACATCCAGAACCGGAACAATTATATGCAGCTCATAAAAATACTTGTTCCGTGCGGAATTCGAACCCGCGACCCCCAGTGCAACAACTCATTACCAAGTCACTGTGCCAACGAGCCGTCAATCATGGTTATAATGAGCACCATTCCTTTGACATCGCAAGTCAACCGCTGAACATGAGCCTCCCACAAAGCCTATTTTAAAACCTCCTGCAGTCTGATGACTTGTTACCAAATAGTCATTCCACCTTTTAAAAGGCTGGCAACGCGCCTCTAATTCCCCTGGTGTTGCAGTTGCTCATGGGCAGCAAAAGTTAATATCAGGTGAGCTGCATGCTAGTGGGCCCGCAGTTCTATAAGACCTGGTGAAGGGTCGCTTTTTACTGTGTCTTCAACTATCAAGCTACCACTCTCTATTCCCTATCGTTTGTCCACTAGATAGTAGGACTTCTTATCTACTTCTGTACTTTATATTTGGGTCTAGGTCTAGGTAGTCCAATCAAATTAGCGACAACCTCGGAATGAGAGATAAAAAGCTGAATTTTCGTATATACCTTCATTTCGGTGTTCTAAACGTTGTCTCAAAAGTCTCATAAAATCTTGCGTCTGAGATTTAAAATAATTTAAAATTAAAAATTTTGTACCGACTCCAACATAAATTATTAAGAATAACTCAAGAATATACCTCGGCACACCCCGATCAGGAGGTGGAGGAAATGTATGAGGATATCTCTAGAGCCATGCATTCCTCCAAAACCCAATATACGGTGTTAATGGGAGACTTCAATGCAAAACTAGGCACAAGAGAGAACGGTGAGCTGAAAGTAGGGAAATTTGGAATAGGGCAACGGAACCCAAGAGGCCAGCAGTTGGCTGACTTCATGGAGAAAGAGGGACTCTTTATGATGAACTCTTTCTTCCAGAAGCGGCCCCACAGGAAGTGGACCTGGTCGAGCCCCGACGGTTCGACAAAAAATGAGATTGACTTCATTATGACGACCAGACGACAACTGTTCAGTGATGTCTCAGTGATCGCGAGGGTGAAAACCGGCAGCGATCACCGAATGGTTAGAGGCACACTGAACCTAAACGTTAAGTTGGAGAGGTCTCGTCTAATGAAGTCAACGCTCCGTCCCCCTCGTGCCCTAATCCAAAGTCCCGAAACCTTTCAGCTCGAGTTACAAAACCGTTTTCAGTGCCTAGAAGACTGCAATGAAGTGGACGATTTGAATGACAAGCTCGTGGAAACTGTCCATGCGGTCGGAGCTAAGTTCTGCAAGACCCGCCGCAGAAGAACACAAAAACTCTCCGATCACACTCTTAATCTCATGGCTGTTAGACGGGAGATGAAGCTACATTCTTCAACAGATTTAACAGCATACAGGCAACTGAACAGACAGATCTCCAAATGCATGCGGCGGGACTTACGCAACTTCAATACAGCTCGTATTGAAGAAGCGATCGAGCGGAACCAAGGCTCCAAAGTCTTTGCCAGAGATCTGTCTGCCAGAAAGCGCCAACTGTCAAAGC